CGCGATTCGCGCAAACGGCTTCACTGTGCGCCACGGCCGCAGCACATCCCCTCTAACTGACTAGTTCGGACACGAACCATTAGCACGGACGCAAACCATGTGCGGTTACCGAGCGAAACGACGTAGTTGAGTTGCACTTTCTCAGGCGGCGCGTCGGAAAATGCGACACAGAAAAATTGACGAAAAATGCCGGGGTGGCCTCTCTCAGGTTTCTCTCTGCTTCTGCACAACGCATAATGCGTAAGCATAAGAAAATTGATTGGTCCATACACATGTGCATAAGGAAATAGACCAATCAATTTTCTTATACTTACGCATTATGCGTTGTGCAGAAGTGTGTGAGCCCCGCTTAAGCCCAGAGCCTAGTGCGTGTACATACGTATGCGCTGCTGAATGCCCACAATGTGTGCAATCGTCACTATACATAACTGGAATGTTAAAATAAATATTTCAATAACTTACAGCTCTTAACATTACCAATCAACCACTAAACGATTGGTAAAAAAAGAATTTAAAATTCCCAACAGTCGAAGTGTAGGCGCTAAAAAAAGTTAAAAATTTGTTGACAATTAATTCTTTCTTTTTAAAACGCGAAACTACCAAAAGGTTTCAATGCGGTATCCAGATACCAAACATTGCCAATCAATCGCCAATCGATTAAAAAAAAAAAACTACCACAGTCAAAGTGGGGGGGGCTAAGAGAAGATCAATGTTTTTTCGATTTTCTAAAGAGACGCGCAACCACCAAAAGTTTTTAATGCGGTACCAAACATTGCCAATCAATCGCCAATCGATTAAAAAAAAGAACCACAGTCAAAGTGGGGAGGCTAAAAAAAAATCAAAAATTTGTTTTTGATTTCCTAGAAAAACGAGAAACTACCGAACGTTTTGAATACGGTACCAAATACTACCAATCAACCACCAAACGATTGGTAAAAAAAAATATATCAATAATCCACTTGGGGGGGCTAACTTTGTCGAGGTGATATGTACTCGAGGAAAATAAGATAACTGAACAATTATCTTCTGTCGTGTTTGTACATTTTATTTTACCGATAGTGGAGATTTTATTATTCGATTTTATTGTCACGCGTTGTAGAATATTTTCCTTTAATTACTTTTTTATAAATAAAAACTGAGATATAATAACTTCAAATATTAACATAATAAAAATTTATTTTATTAATATTAATAATTTTTTAATTTACATTTGAATATCTATGAAAATGGAATTATTCTTACATAGAACAAAAACCAAATTTTGTTCGTTGACACCATCTACAACAACAGCATTGAACAAGAAGTAGGTTTGAGTGGTACTTGTCAATGGAAATTTTGTTTGTTGACACCATCTACATAGAACAAAAACCTCTAATAGGTGATTTGAATACTCCATTAGATTTCTATATAACTTTCTATAAACGTCTGCTAGACATTTATGTATAATTCCACGTTTCATACTTCTATTCGACGTATTCATAGATATCTTTTAGACGTTATATATAAATTAACTATAGATGTGTCATGGAGATTCGATAGATAAATAATAGACGTTAACTTAACGTTTTATAGATTCTTTATTGATATGCGCCTTATTAGTAAAGATTAAAACATTAAACAATTATTATTTATAAGTTGTTGCATGCATTAAGATATATAGAAGCAACAATTTATAAATAATATTTTTATTTGCAATTATTACATAAATAAAAATGAGTAAATAAGTTTACTTATTTTGCTTCCTCATAGAGAAACCTTATTAATTCGTTTTCGTAAAAAAATTTTTTTTTAGTTTACAATATTCAGAATGTTCTAAAATGTAGAAAAATCGCATTTTTTTTTAATGGTCGTGTGCGTGCGTGCGCGTGCGTGTATGTGTGTATGTGTTTGTGTGTATAATACGTATACGAATTCCCTGAAATGTCAAACGGAGGAGGTTAATCAAATAGTAACTTTTTAAATACCATCAGTCTCATAAAAATTTTCTTTTTTACCGAGAATGCTAGTGAGTACAATATCCTAAATCGGAACGTCTTAAAGACGTCATATCATAAGATAATATTATTCCACATTATATCCTTCCACAAAATTTATCTTTGACAAAATTGATATAACATTAAGGATGTTTTGGCTATATCTTCAAAACAGTAAGAAGTCGATAAATGAGATTGTTCTTTTAGTCTTCCTGAAAAAGTTGAAACGAATCCATCTAAACGGGGTTGCTGAGTTATAACAATTTTAAAGATGTATTGGAGGTATTTCAAATATATTCAGAAATGGCTGAAATTTTGAAATGTTTCTTTTAAATTCAATTAAAAATACTCTGTAAGTGATTTACTAAACGATTTAAGAATTGTTTAAGTTTAAAATTGGTAAAATCAACATTATCTCGTATGGAGATCCAACATTTTTGCGGTAAATATAAATAAAACCGGTGAGATGTTTCTAAAACGTTTTTTATAAACATACATCATAGACATTGTATTTTAAATTTCAAAACTTTTTGCTAAAATTTTTTTATTTTTTAATTGTTTAGACAATACTAATAATGTCAAAAAACCATACTCAAAGTGTTAACGGTAATCCTTTCTAACATATAAACAATTTTGAGTTGTTTGACGTACATGCAAAGTCTTCATTTTAGTAATTTCTTATTGAAAGCTAACTTTTGGCAGGGATTGTATAATCAAAACATCCTTAAACTTATACTATATAGATAAACAAAAATTTTTAGAAACACATTAGAACAAAATTTGACATTACAACTCATTGTCAGTGAAAACTGAGTTCAGTTATCTTGAATAGTTTTCAAGTGTTCTTAAGAAAGGCTTAGAATATTCCACCACACTTGCACTTCCTCTATATTGCACATACACCCGTCAGCGTATACATACATGTATATGTACGTGATATACTGATAACATTGCAATTTATATTATCAGTAATTTCTTACGATAAAATACTAATTTTACATCATACGCAGAAAACCTCTTTTCTTTCCAAAAGTTTAATACGTCACTTGTATTCGGCCGCAGTCGCCCGAAGCTGATTAGAAGATTCAAACGAAAAACATGAATACCATAATACCATAATACATGTAATCCGGATATTAAAATTGACGAAACGGCGTTTATAATATTTCTCAACCTAACCAACTGCTGACCAACAGTTCACGAGTTATTACTAATTTAAGATCGTGACAACGCGCACGGCTGACACTAGTTCTCGCGTAACTGCATATGCATCACTGAGACCCCGATAAATGCGCATATAATACGCACATTGTGCGTGTATTGCATCAATTGTTAATGATTTTATTATATTTTCTCAAAAAATATAATAATATAGATAACGTCCAATGCTTATATTTATAACAAATTACAAGAAAATATAAACTAAAAATGAAAGTAACTTGAACTAAGAAAAGAAATTGTCTCAACAACCTGAAAAATTATTTTTTAAAGAAGCAAAAATTTTGTAGATATATCAAAAATTAAATTTTTGCGTTGTTACAGGGCCAATAAAATGATTCGTTATTCTAACAAAATAATTTAGTTAGCCGCCACAAAGCACTGCCACGGAATGACCGACGCTCGCACGCTCTAGCGTTACTGAGGAGTGGGGTGAAGCTGCTTTGTTAAGGTGCGATTTCATTGACGCTAGAAACCAACGGCAGCGTCAAGAAAATGTAGTGGGGGAAGAAGTTCCGTTGAATTTTGCGGTACGCTAAAAAGTTGAGACGGTCTGAACTTCTTCCCCCACTACATTTTCTTGACGCTGCCGCTGGTTTCTAGCGCCAATGAAATCGCACTTTTACGCATGACAAGTATTGACCCCAAAAGTCGAAAATAATTTTTAAAATGTCTTCTACAATTAGCAAATTATTTTCTTTTCTATACAATTAATTATTGTTTGTTAAAAAATATGTTAAATATGTTAAAATTTGTCAGATCAACAATAGTGCTGTGTTAAACCAATTAATAAACTTCAGCAAAATAATTCAGTACAATGAACAATTACGTTTTGTTCATTTATTTAAAAATGTCTTTATTTTTATATACTATTTTGCCAATAAAACAAAATAAACAAAATAATTGGTCAACAATATTATTTTGTCGATATTGCAAACCAATTTTTCTAGGTAAAAAGCAATAAAATGCGATAAATGTTTGCGCGATACAAATATTCACTCTTATTGTAAAGAATTAACGGTACCGTCTCTATTCATGCTGTATTACAAGTAAAAGTTACATAAGTCATAAAAACAAGTGGAAGTTATATAAGTCATAAAAAACGATGATCTTGATCACGTCGAGTATACTCGTCTAAACAAGTGCACATGCTTATCAATTTTTTTCATTTCTTTTTAGCATCATTAATCATTTGATTTGTGCATTGGATAATAATACATCATAAATAACTCTTATTGTACACTTTAATCATCTTTAAAAACGTTGAAAAGTTTGAAAGTTAAAAATGCGATAATATTTTTACGAATACAACTATATCGTAAAATATGTATTTCGCACAAGATTTTCACGGTTCTCTCTTCTCCAAGCCAATCCAGAATCCGCCAACAGGTTGCAGTGTAAACTCTTTTTTAGTATATACAACTGGTTCGACGGTTTTTTCTACTGTCTTGAAAGTAAACTTTTGCAAAAGATGAGCTATCAGAATCTTAGTCTCCATAAGAGCAAATCGATTGCCGATACACTTTCTAGGCCCGTGACCGAATGGCATATAAGTGTACGGTACAATGTTGTCCTTGTTCTCCTCGCTGAACCTTTCGGGATCGAACTTATCCGGGTTTGGAAAATATGCTGGATCGCGATGTAAAGCATAAACGGGAAACATCAATACGTTATCAGGTTTGACGATCACATTTTTGCAGCCTGGTTGCGACGGAGGTAGTTCGTATTCCTTAGTGCAAAGTCTATCGATGAAGATCACCGGTGGATACTTTCTGAGAGTCTCGGAAATCACCATGTCCATGTAAGACATCTTCGATAGCGACTCGTAAGAAATCTCACCGTTTCCTTCGGCAAGATGCTGCTGTATCTCCTCGCGCAGGCGATCCTGAATATCTTGATTAACCGCCAGTTCGTGAGCAGCAAAGCACATCAGAGTCGAGGAGGTATCGAAACCAGCAAAGAAAAAGATGAAAGCTTGCGAAACGATATCATCCAATGTCATTTTGGACGCACTGGCACTGTCCTTGTTCCGAGCCTGCATTAGCAAATGAATCATATCCGGTCTGACGATATCTTGTGTTTCGCGCGCGTTAATGGTTTCCCCTACAATCTTCCTGAAAAATTTGGACGTAGCCGCCGGGAAAAAAGTTAGACCTATTAATTTAGCGAGCCATGGACACGCACGTAAAAATATGATCTTAATAGTTACTAGTAGCCCGGAAGAAAATTTGGTAGCCTCAATTCCTCTTATATAGAATTCATTGTCTTGATCTTTCATAGAATTCACACTTATGCCAAAGGCTGCCGTAGCAATTACGTCATTGGTGTATCTTCTAAAGACCGCCTTCGTTTCGATCGTGTGACAGAGCTCCGGATGGTTGACCAAATAATTGACGAAGTCGTGAGAACATTTTGATATCAAATCGAACATGAACTTCATTTTGCTGGCGGTGAAAGAGGGGCTCAGCGTATTCCTCATTTCTTTCCAACGATTTCCGCGTAAGGAGAAGATGTTCTTGCCAAACAGCGGTTCCACTTTTTCGTCAACGAAGGTGCGATGATCCGGGAAATGTTCAAAATCTTTCACCATGATGTCTTTAATCAGCTCGGGGTCGCGCAAAATTATGGCAGGCGTAAAAAAATCCACCCCTCCAAAATATTTAGCGTTTGGGAAGTAACGGTATACATATTCGCAATAGTCGGCGAATGTGATGTAGCCCAAAAACACTTTCCAAACTGTTACAAAAGACGATAGCGAATTTGGCAAATAAGGTACGCCCTTATTCTTCCAGTAAAAATACGCGTGATGCAGCACAGAGACAATTTTCAGAACGCCAATGACGACCAGAGTAATCAGTAATAGCACAAAGGTCGAAGCCATTTTGATGCGATGAGATAACAGACTAACGAGATACTTCGTCGGACGTGGCGTAGAACGTTGTAAGTGCGTACGTAATAGCGCTTCTGAGTAATACGTGAAAAAACCAAGATAGAAGGGGGGAGAAACGCTTCTCGGAATCGTATCATACTGAGATTTGCGATAATACATGACGTATCACTTGTCAGTAATTACACAAAATAAGCTGTGCGATTTAAATTCGCACAACGACATTCTTTAATATTATAACTTCTATCAAAGTCAATCATTAATAATTCCATTTAAAAAAATCTATCTCATATTTCCATAAAAACTGGATTTCAATACAAAAGTTATTGATGATTAAATAATTAAAAAATTACCTAATTGACATTAATTCATCATACGCTTGCTATGCTTATATACATACATATATACATATCCCAGGTAGCAGAGTGACGTCTTTATATATATCTATATATATATATATATATATATATATATATATATATATATATATATATATATATATATATAGACGTTTTTCTACTACCTAAGATATATATATATATATATAATATTAATGTATATTATATGTACATAATGGATTTAACATCCGAGATAGAACTCCGGTAAAAAAAAATGTATATTATTATTACAAAATATATCCATGTAATATGTTTTTTTTCTGTTGTATAATCTCTGTGTGTATAATAAGTAAAAAAATTAAAAAGTAATAAAAATGATATTTTTTGCAATGCTTTTTTATTAAAAATGAAGTTTGAGGATATGAAAAAAATTGCAATGCCTATTTCTAATAATTTAATGTTCTAATTAATCATATATAAATGTAATAAACGTATAAATTATGATTTATAATTATATACAGAATATTATATAACCAAATCACAATTTTACTTTTTATAAAAAAGAAAAATGCAAAAATTATTTTTCTAATTACTTCAATTACTTTTTTTTTACTATTTTTGTTTCCTCATAGAGGAAGCTTTGTTTTCGGGAAAAAATTTTTTTTCAAGCATCTTTGGCAAAGTGTTTAGAATGTTTTAAAACGTCGAAAAATCACTTTTGTACAAAATGTCTGTATGCGTGCGTGCGTGCGTGTGTGTTTGTATGTATGTATATGTACATGTACGCTTTTGTTGTTTGTTTATGCTCTAACTTTCGTAATTTTTTATATATTGAGATACATTATTTTAATTGATAGAGTATCATGTAAGGAAGGTTGGGATTGAATTTGGCGATGATCGGTAAAGCGGTTCTTTTTTAATAAAATTTAGAACTTTTGTAGAAAAGTTTGTGGTTGCTCTAATTTCCGCAAATTTTGAGATCGGTTTATTTCTAATTTTATTATATTTTTAAATCCTTTCTACCCCTATTTCATATATAATTCTTTAAGATTAGGTTGATTAGACCCAGCTTTATACGCGATCAAAGGTCCATGTGCGAAAGTCCATATATGGACCATGTAATGTAAAAATTAGTAGGGATCATTTTAGTAAAAACATTAATTATTTAACCCTTAAATGCCACACCTCTCAAGAATCTCGTAAATGACATGAGGGGTCTAAAAGTCCCCAGCATGAAAAATGTCTCCTTACTCATTGATTTTTTAATCTTTAGTTATGAAAATTTTTTTTAATGTTGTTCAAGGCTTAGAAAAGAGAATAAAATGCTTATATTGTTAAAATTTCAATTTCAACATAGTATAAAAAATTAAGTAAACTGAGTACTGCTAAGTGTACAAACGGGTAGGTCAATCACTCAACTATCATCAATGGGAGCATGAGCTCCATTTTTGGCAAGAACATTTGAAAACATTTCATTCTAAAGGGTCTGGGGTCCGCTGGACCCCACAGAGCATTTAAGGGTTAATTGATTTTTGTAATAGTATAACAGGTATTAGTATAACAGATATTAGCCGCAATAAAACTTATCACAATAAAAAAAAGTGTGCAAGTAGAAACTTGCACATTGCTTCCTCATAGTTTTTGAGTGTGCAAGTAGAAACCTGCACATTGCTTCCTTATAGTTTTTTAAATGTGCAAGTAGAAACCTTCGCTCACAAAGCTTCCTCTATGAGAAAGCCAAAACAAATAAATACTAATAATTATGTATCGAATAAAATACAAGCTTCCTCATAGAGGAGCTTTGTGAGCGAAGGTTTCTACTTGCACACTTAAAAACTATAAGGAAGCAATGTGCAAGTTTCTACTTGCACACTTGAAAACTATGAGAAAGCAATGTGCAAGTTTTTACTTGCACACTTAAAAACTATGAGAAAGCAATGTGCAAGTTTCTACTTGCACACTTTTCTTATGTACACCGATAAAGAGTATACAAGAAGAAGAAAACTTATACAAACATATTTTATGTATAATTATTTTATTTTTATATATTTTTACATAAAAAAACTGTTTTACCGGAATTTATTAATAAACATTAATAGCAGCAAAAAATGTAAAATAACATATCTTATTTTAATAATATTTAAAAAATATATACTTAATATCTTAATGGTGCTCACAGAGAAAAGTATAAAATCCTTAATCAATATTGATCCTAAAAATAAATAATACTACCATAAAATAGTTTATTAATACAAATTGTTTAATATTATTTATTGCTGTCATCAACATACTTGTCATCACATTTTCGAATTAATACAATTAATGTAATTATTTGATAATGTAAATACATTAAATAATGTAAATACATTAATTTAATAGAATTATTAATAAATGATAATTTCGTGTCATTCAGATTTTGGATTATTATACAGGATATTACCTAAATAAGTACACAAACTTGAAAGGAATATATTCCTTGGCTTATTTTAAGAAGAAAAAGTCCTATAAACATGTGCTCTAAACTGCTTCGTTTTCTTCTTAAAATAAGTCAAGGAATATCCCCTTCAAGTTTATGTATTACTTAAAAAACACCCTGTATGTATATGATCGCAATATAATAACGTAAAGGAGGTTCTACAGATAATGGATATATCTAAAAATTAAAAAAAAAAAAAACTTAATGGGCGTATAAATTGAGATGCCAGAAAAGTGTTCGAAAAATTTTAGCATCGGTTATCGTGTAAAAATTTGCAAAAATAAATTTTGAAATCACAGTTTTTAACATGAGCTCTTATGGCAGAGGGGTTCCTGGAGGCAGGAAACGAGATATTAATTATATGAAGACGGCCTACCAGAGATTCAAAAAACGGAGCTCTTATAGATCTTTTAAAGCTTTTCAGAAATATTGAGAAAAACAATGGTTTTCGTGTAAAATTTTGTAATATTGGCTATTGAAACAGGCCATATCACAGTTCACGTAGCGTGCTTCGAATAACAATGGAGATTTAGTAACGTCGCAGCGACTGCACCCACGCAAAAAGTGTACAGCCAGTATTTATACAGCACCACAATATGACACCACCTCAAACTTAAGCACCTAACCTTTACGAGCGCTAACGGAGGAGTACTCGCTCTAAAATTATGTGAAATACAAGTTTTGACCACGGTCATATGAACAGAACAGCGAGACTCAAGTTCGTGACGTTACCACATTTTCTCGCATGTATAAGCCAGAGTCAAAGGAGCGGGGCGAAACAATCCCCGTTCACTACATAAATTTGCTTTTTTAGATGTTTATAAGATACTACAATTTTACATGAAAATTAACAGACCTTCAACCAAACCTTCAACCTTTCCATGGAAAATTGTAGTATCTTATAAAAGTCTAAAAAAGCGAATACATGTAGATTTCCATGGATTCACGATTCGTAAAAGGCTTAAGAATTTTGTCGTTGTCTATAGGACCTTGTAGTATTATATGCGAAATTACAATCATTCACAAGTCAGAAATTTAACTAGGTAAAAAATTGTACATGTGTATTTTTCTATTGGGTCTTACAGCAAATTATACGAAAATAAAAACATAAGTATTTTGACTTCTGCGAATTAAGAAGTTATTAATAATAAATGAATTTTGGAAGATTTGTGTAAGAACTTGTAACATTTAACTAAAAATTACAAATTTTAATTAGCCATAATTGTAATAGATTTTTTAGCTGTACAAACAAATCGATATTTGTTACTATTCATACAAAATTGTAGTATTTTATGAGAAACTAAAAACTGGATTAGATTCTAATTTGTATAGTTTTACGATATGTAAATTGTGGTAGATTTCTATAGTCAATTGTAATAATTGTAGTATTTTACAAGTAAGCAGATGTTTTAATTTTTTAAGATTTTGTTGATTCTCAAATTTTTAATATTTGTAGATTTTTGTATTATTTTTTATTAAATTGTAGATTTTCATGAAATACTACTTGCAATAATTTCTTTATTTGAGAACATTGTAATTTGTGGTACTATTTCGTAGATATTTCTGCAAAAAAATAACTGACAGCAAGCACGTTCAAAAGCGAGACATCCCTGGCGGAAATATTTCTACAAAATTTAAAAAACTATAAAATATAATTGCCAGAATCTATTAAGGTGATTGGGCCATGTACCATATGAGTCAATATAAGGGCTAAATTTTATTTTAAGAAAAACCATTTTTATGGATATATTCTAGACATTTGTATAATTACTGGTTTTATAATGTAATTTTTCATTCAATTACGTATCAATTTATCTACTGATAAATGTAAACAGTTCAAGATTTGACTTCAGTTGACATTCGTACAAGAGAAATGTCGCGACATTGCATCTCTTCGCTGTAGGCAGCTATCATGCCAGTGCCATGTGTTTGAGTGAGGTTATGTATTGTGTTTAAGTTAAAAAATAATGGAAGGTAACAAACAATTTCGATAACGGAAGATTTGCTTGCAAAAGAGTGCTGTGGAAAGAAAACACTACACGGCGCGGCGTTGCCACATGTTCACGTCGCGTACAGCTGATCGAAAGGCCGACAAGAAACGCGACGATTCATCAACTTTTGATTGAATTTTTGGCCTTATTACACGTCAACGTCGTTTTGTCTTATACTTAACAAGTGCTAGAAGAATCAAATAATGTTATTTTCAGTTTTTTAAACTTGTTTCTTTACAGACAGTGAGTGA